CATACACATACAAAAATCNTAACATAACTTGAAACAAACAAGCGTATAAACAAACACACATACAAACAAACGCACATACAAACACACACACACACATACAAACAAGACTCACATACTTAAACACACACACACATACAAACAATACACACATACATACAAACAAAAAACCACACATATCCACAAAAAATAACAACACGTATACATATAAAAACGAAATTTGACATATGCATAATTCATGAAGCTTACCATATAGGCCGCTATAGAATTCATCTTCTTGATAATGTATCATTTTGAACATCTAATCTACCTAGGTGTTTACGCGTATTGCTGTGTATTTGTTCATGTGTGTGTGTGTGTGCGTGTGTGTGTGTGTTTCATGTACTCGCATGGGTTTTTGTATGTTTTTTGTTGATTTTTCATTTGTTTGCGCATATGGACGTATCATCGTTTATGTATTTATATAAATATGTTTTTTAATTCCATTTATTCTCAAAAAAAAAAAAATACATCGTAATGTGAACAATCGATATTTTATTTATTCGTCAGTATACAAGGGAGTATCTAATGTAGGTGATTGTATGTTTCTTTGTATTATCGCTTGTATGCCTGCCAATATGTGTCTTGTAACTGCCTTTTGTTTTACGCGTCTGCGTTAGTCGGAATATTTTGTTTGCTAGGTTAAGGTTAAAATATTTAGGTATTTTATTTTCTGTATGATGTACATCTTTGTGTGTATGTGCGCACACACGCACCAAAACACACACACACAAATACACACACATGCACACACATGCAAAACACACATACACAAATACACACACACACACACAAGACATACACACAAATACATACACACAAAACACACTCAAATACACACACACTCAAATACACACACACACACAAAAACACACACACAAAACACACACACATATATACACACACACTAATACACACATAAATACACACACACAAATACACACACACACATTTAATATAAATATATTTATAAAATGTTTGTGAACTTTTGTGCGTGAATGTCAACGCATGTGCCTGCCTGCTCGATCATACCTTAACTTACTCATATTGATGGTATTTAATAACTCCACGTGTGTGTGCGTATGTTTCTGTGTGTGTGTGAGTGTGTGTCTGTGTGTGTGTGTGTGTGTGTTTGAGTGTATCTGTGTGTGTATGTGCCAATGTTTTCATATACATTCGTAGAACTTTCATAAAATTAACTCACTTGTGACATGATCGAATGGACATACATTGTAAATATATTGAAGGGTAAACATACTTACACATAAAACCAAACAAAAACACACACATACACAGACAAACCATAACTAAAAACACACATACAAACATTTGTATGTGTGATGAAGTAGAAGACTGCCACATCATTTTTACTAGACATCGTTTGAGATAGAAATAGTTATAACCGTTTAGAATCATTTTGTATCGAGGATCCTAATACAAACGAATGCAAATATAATTCCGCCAAAGTTTTTCCAAAAAATTAAACAAAAATTAAACATAATTGCAATCAAAAATAAACACAGAAATAAATAAATTTGATATAAAATAAATAAAACAACAAATAGCTACAAATCATAAGCGTAAGACCGGACAAAAAATTGGAACGTTCATAAAGAAAAGACAAAAAAAAACTCAAAAAAGAACCCAGAATTAAAAATAAACAAAAGTAATAAAACATAAAGATACAAATAAATAAAAAACAAAAACGACATGAGAGGATAAAAATATTTTTTTGTGATATTAGTTGCAACCGTTGTAGAACTAATAAACAATAATAGCGAACCTTTTAAGCGGACATGCGTCACAAAGATACACACCACTTCTAGTATCTTTGTATGTCTGTGTGTTTGTATGTGTGTTTGTATGTGTGTTTGTATGTGGGTTTGTATGTGTGTTTGTATGTGTGTTTGTATGTGTGTTTGTATGGGTGTAACACTATCATTATTCCATTAGTGAAGTTTAATCGAAATGTATGTTGGCAAATGGAAGTTTGTTTGAAGTGTGTATGTATGTGTATGTGTGTGTTGTGTGTGTAAGTGTGTGTGCATACATATGATTATTTGTGTAAATATGTGTGTGTATGTGTGTGTGTGTTTGTGATAAGTGTGTGTAGGTGTGTGTGTGTGTTTGTGGTATTGTGAACGTAGGTGCGTATTTTTATATCCCCCACCCCCCCAGGTACTTCTAGGTACGTAATTCCGTCTTCTCACACCCGGTTTTGAAGAGGGATTTCTCAATTTAAAAAAAATATTAAATGTCAAAAGCCTGCTATTAATACCTCTTAAGCATTTTTACAGTAATCATATTTCCAATTACTCTATCTACATTTTATTTAATTAAATTATATTTTTAGTTTAATTATTTAAAATATATTTCCTTTATTTGCATTATAATTATTAACTTAAACGTAATAATACACTTGTGTATATTTTCTATATGTTTATATGTACGTGATAATGACCTTACACACACACACACACACACACACACACACACACACACACACACACACACACACACACACACACACACACTTACATACATACCTACATAAGAAAGTGCCAAACCACTTTGATAAATTACATTATTTGGTTTGCAAATGTCATTAAATCTTTTTAATAAACACGCAATAACTATATGTGTCTGTGATTATTTATGTAAGTATGTGTGTGTTAGTGTGCGTGTGTGCGTGCGCAAATACGTTCATTGCTGGCGTTTAAAGCCATCTTCTATCTCTTTAATCCTATTAGTAACACGTTTTTAATTATGCCTATTATTCCACTACTACTACTACTGCTGCGGCTGTCGCTATTATCGTTACTACTACTACTGCTGCTGCTACTACTACTACTACTATTACTATTACTACTACTACTACCACTACTACTACCATTTTTACTATTACTACTACTATCGCTTCTATTATTTATAATGTTATTACTACTTATTAGCGCTAAAGCTAGTGGAAAAGTTGCAAGAATGAAATGACGAAATGAAGTTACGATTTTTCTTTTTAAAAGTTTAAAGAATGTTTACAGTTCGATTGAGCAATGATGATGCTGATTATGTGATATTAATAATAATAATTATTATTATTATTATAATTATGATAATTATTTTTATTACGACGATGGTGATAATATATAATCGCAATTACGATAATTCTGGCAGTGATTAATGGCGCGCTGAGCCAGAATAATGCCGGTAAATAGTAACGCAAGAATTGTGCTGAAGGTAGGAGTAGTTACTTTTTATTTTTACGAGTGTTTTGACAATGAGAAAAGATAAAAATGATAATAAATTTTTCTTCTCTTTGATATTCTCTAAAAAACCAGAATCTGACAAACTGTGTGACAGCATTCAATTATAGCGGAAACTAAATAACAGAGCTAGAATTTAAAAAAAGTTATAAATAATTAGTTAATTGACTAGTCGATGACTTAATACATAAATTAAGATGTGTTAAGTTGATGATGACGAAGACGATAACGATGATGATAATAAATGATGGTGACGTAACTCTGACGTCACAACCATCATGACCTTGAACTGACCTGGGTCATCGTGTATGATGCATGCTCTCCAAAGGCCACTATGTATTTTTATTTGAATGATTGAAACTTCATTCTCATCATCATCTTCGTCGTCGTCATCTTCTTCTTCGTCATCATCGTCATCGTCTTCTTCTTCATCATCAGCTTCTTCGTTTTCTGTAGCTGAATTATTGTTGATATCTACATCAGGATCATACTCGTTGTAATTGTTGTCGTTGTTGTTGTCGTTGTTGTTTTTGTCGTTGTAGTCGGTCATAATATCGACCGTGTTTTTAACTTCCACGCCGATGTTATTGTCGTTGCTTTTGTTGTTGTTTAATGTTTTTGTATATAGTCGTTGAGAATGATTTTGTTGTAGACTGACCCGAGATCTATTATTAAGCTGTTGTGTTTCGTGCTGTCTTGCAACAACACCATCAGCATGCGAATGTTGAGATTTGTTATGCATGCCTGGTAACTTCGGCTTATCCAACAAAGTCTGTTTATGTTCAAGCTGTTGCGAGCTCATTTCCTTTTCCTGCTCATGCTGTTTCTGTTGTCGATTCGGATAATCAAACGTTTCATTTTCCGGTATGGCCCGTACCGGTTCTTCGGTATAAAGCCAGAAGTCTGTGGAAGCGGCCAAACTCAAAGAACCCGCAGCCGCGAGCCCGAATGTTAGTGAGATTAGATTAAGGTTGCGTGTTGTACAGTAGGGTTTTGTTTTACGTTTTTGTTGTTGCATTGTGTTGTTGTTTGTGTTGTTGTTGTTTGTGTTGTTGTTGTTGGTGGTGCTGTTTGAAACGAAAGGATATTTGTTGAGTGTGTTACTGCTGTTGAAGTTAGTGTTGCTGCTGTTGTTGTTGAAAGAAATGCTTGTGTAAAAATAGTTGTTGTTGTAGTTGTTGTTGTTGTTGTTGCTGCTGCCAACTGATCTATCGTTCTCAACAAACTCGATAATTTCATCAAATGAATTGTTCACATTTATTTTATTTTCTTTCATTTTCGTTTCACGTTCCGAGACGAGATGGAAACGATACCGAGAAGAAATCTATGACGACGGTGATGATTATAGTGATATTAATGGTGATAATTACGATGATGGTGATGATGGTGTTGTCGTTGCTGTAGTGGCCACATTCTTTTATAATCTTGGTGAAGAAGTTTGTGATGTCAAATGATGACAAAGATTTCGTTGTTGTCTTAATGAGATGATGATGTGGTTGATGTAGTAAGTAGTTGTGGTTGATATAGCTAGTAGTTGTGGCTGATGAAGCTAGTAGTTGTGGGTTATGTAGTAAGTAGTTGCAGCTGATGCGATTAGTAGTTGTGGCTTACGTGGTAAGCGGTTGCGGCAGATGCAGCTGGTAGTGGTAGTTGTAGCTAACCACTTTTAATTCTTTTTTTATGTTTACATTTGTGCTTCTCAATGAGTAAATATTTTAAAATAATCCAAATTCTGATTGATCGTCATCATTTTGACTCTCATCATCCCCATCATCGTCAACATTAAGTTCGCAAACATTACCACCATTTAATCACACTTTAAGTCATTTAAGACGTAGAAGCTATTAATTTATCTACACTGAAAAATGATAATAAAAATGATGATAACATCGATGATGATAACGATGATATGGTGGTATCAATGGTAGGATAACAACGATGTCAGGATGATGAAAACGGTGATGATGGTGATAAATATAACGGAAATGGTACATTATTGTTGAAAATTTTCCGGATAAATCCTAAACGCACAAAGCTGATTTGAGAGTGTAAAAATTAAAAAAAAATTAAATTACGGTAATAATGATGATGAAGATGATGGTGATGATAATATAATAATTATTATGACGACGACGACGACGATGATGATAACAATGATGACAACGATAAGAAAGTGACGATGAAGATGATGACGACAAAAGTTTTCAAATTTGAAGAAACTTTAAAAACAATAAAATTCACCGGAAATTTTTTAAGAAGAAAGCAATTAATGCCAAATCATGGAGACATCAACGTCCAGCAATGACTCCAAACTGACGTGAAAATTGCTTCGTTTGCTTTACCAAACCAACAAATGATGCTAGACAAACGCATTCCAGATAACAAGAGAGAAGGAAGAAAATTTTGGAGAAGGGATGCGCTGCAGAGAGAGAGATAGAGTGAAAGAAAGAGGGAGACAGAGAGAGAGAAGAAAGAGTTGATAAAAACCTATAAATGCACAACAATACGTTTTGCCGTGTGTTATACATACTATTATGGAATAACTTTAAAAACATACTGCACATATATGTTTATGTATATGTGAGTATTATGTGTGTGTGTGTACGCGAGTGTGCGTGCGTGCATTTGTTCGTGCATGCATATTTATGTGACATTTTTCCCATTTTCTTAACTCCGAGTGGCCCAGCCATACAAACAGTCAACTGGTTTATTATCGTTTTAATCTCGCTGGATCAAACAAATTTTTAAATTTTTAAATAAATCAGTATTTTAATTTAAAATGGTAGAGAGGCAAAGTAAGTCCGAGAATGTACACCAACGGAAATGGATGCAAAAATTAAAAAGTGTACATCCAACTATCAATTAAATAGTAAATCAATCTTGGGGGTAGAAATCTGTTTATGTTAAAAGATTATAGCGAATAAAAAATGAATCACATTTAGAATAGATGTGATTCATTCCTTCACTCTTTTAATCAGAAATTTGCAGCAAGTGTGGTGACTAATTAGTCCGTTTAGTATCCTGGTTAATTTTATAATGATTTAAATGAATAATTTGATAAATCGTGAAAAAAAGAATTTATTTAAAAAAAAATAATTCATAATATGTCAAAAATAGGATGAACGCTTTATATACACTCGCACACACACGCACACACACACACACACACACACACATATACGCGCACACGCTTGTATAACTACAAACATTAAAAATGGCATCGAGAATGTTGATACAAAATGAAGATTACAATGTTTGAAGTTGGATAGGTAGGGGTGTGATTAAAATTAAAGAAAATTTTTAAAAGAAGATTGGATTAAAGTTCCAAAAATAAAAAAAATAATTTCAAAATAATAAAATTGCTGGTTTCAATTGTAAAAATATTCTGTTGGAAAAATAATAATTAAATATTGATACCAGTCTATTCATAAATCAGAATACAGAGTAACAAATAAAGTGCGTGCGTTTGTGTACGTGTGTGTAAACGTACGTGTATGTGCGTGTGTGTAGTGTGTGTGTGTGTGCGTGTATGTGTGCGTGTGTGTGTGTGTGTGTGTGTGTGTGTGTGTGCGTGCGTGTGT